AGTATCATCCACGAACAGATTGAATTGAAGGAAACAATTTATCCAACCTACCAAAACATTGCCTTTGATGTACAAAACAGAATGAGTCAGGTAGAAAAGGAATATGGAGATCTCTCAACAGCCATAACAAAACATGGAGAGGACTGGCACAGAGAAATTGACAAACTTGTCAAGAAACTTAAAGTTGAAGTTGATGAGATGAAAAACACACAGTTACAAACTGTACAGAAACATTTGAATGAAATAAATAAGATCATTTCTGACATCAAGGATGAAATCAATTCACTTGAGGATGCTTTAGAGTCCAAAGACATTTCCAAATTCTGTAATTTTAAGTCTGACCTAGAAAAATATCGAAAGCTTCCAACAAACATTGCTCTTTCTGTACCCAAATTCAAACCAGAAAGAATCGAAGGAGTACTTTGTAAACTGTTTGGATTTTTAACACCAAGGCTAATAACTTCAGATGGATATAACCATGATAACTACAGCATGAAGACCCCACAGAAATCACCAGAAGCTGGATGTTCATGGCCAGTCAAACAGCTGCTTGGTGAACCACAGACTATTGCCACCTTACACACTGATAAGGAATATATTCAATACCATGTTGCCTATCAAGGTGATGGAAAAATCTGGACCTGTGGAGGTAACAACACTATAAAACTTTACAGCATTAATCAGGGATCACTCCTTAAGTCAATCACAACCAAGTCAGGACTCTGGCCATACGATATTGCGATGACAAAAAGTGGACATCTAGTTTATACCGATTACAATGATAGAACTGTGAACATTGTGAAGAATGAGAAGATAGAAGAGGTGGTAAGAATGAAGAACTGGAAACCTGAGGGTGTCTGTAGCGCCTCTTCTGGTGGTTTCCTGGTTATCCTAATGAGTAAAGTTAAAGAACAATCAAAGGTTGTCTGTTACCATGGCTCAAAAGAAATAAACAGCATTCAGTTTGATGATTTAGGGAGACCTCTCTATTCGAATTCTAAAACAAAATACATTACTGAGAACAGGAACTTGGATATCTGCGTGTCTGACAGTGAAGCTAAAGCATTAGTGGTGGTCAATCAGGCCGGGAAACTGAGATTTAGGTACACTGGACATACTCCTGCTCCAAAGAACCAACCATTCAGTCCACTAGGAATCACCACAGACAGTCAGAGTCACATCCTTACAGCTGATTTTTACAATGACTGTGTCCACATCATAGACCAGGATGGACAATTCCTCCGTTACATAGACTGCGGATTAAGACAGCCCTGGGGACTGTGTGTAGATGCAAATGACAACCTGTTTGTTGCTCTGTACGAGGAAAAACAAGTGAAGAAAATGAAGCATATGCAGTAAAATGCATCATGATAAAGGATGAATACGATTTGCTTGATAGACTTTATCATACTTGATAGTTGATACTACATGCACTGTACTTATCTCTGTTGTTCAACAAAAAAAGGAAAAAAGAAAGAAATCATATTTCAATTCGTTAAATACAAGTTACAATAAAATCTCTTGAGATATTTTTATAATCGCATTCTGTACACTGTTATATATATGAATTCCATTTTATCAATCAAGCAAAAAATTATGCAACATCACAACTGATATGAAAAAGATCATTTGACCAATATCCACTGTTTAACAAGAGGCCTATGGGCCATGACGCTCACATGAGCACATGAGCTAAGAAAAGGTACAAGTCAGTTCGGTATTGAAAAGTTTACGGGAGGGGAGGGGTGCTTGAAATTTATACTACTTGAGGCTGCCTCCATATCAATATAACATAAAGCTCTGCTGTTCTTGAGAAAAAAGAATTTTTTGAAGATTTTCTTCCTACATATTACTTTGTAAAACTGTGATCCCCCATTGTGGTCCCTCCATACTCCAAGGAGTTATGCAAGCATGGGGTAATCGTAATCGAGTAATCGTAATCGATTGTAATGATTACTTTTTTTTCAAGTAATCGACAGTAATCTGTAATCGAAGAGATTTTCGATTACTTGTAATCGCAATTTAATCGATTACTGCTAAAATTTCCAATGTAATTATAATTACTTTTTCGATTGCTTTCAATTCCTTTATATTTTACATATACACATCTACTTTATACATGAGTATAATTTGTAGAATTATTTCCAGTCATTCAAACAAAAATATTATATACAAACCACCCAATGATATGTGTAAAGTTCTAACTTTTATAACCATAACTTGAATAATATTCACAATAGAATTATAGCGAGCGCAGCGAGCGTCGCGAAGCGACGCTCGCAAAGCGAGCTCAATAGACTAACGTGTATGAACAGAGGAAATTCGGATTGAAATCTGTACATACGTCAGCCAAATTTCTCTGTGCAACCTTCCCAGAATTCCTGAACTACCCAATGTCCTTTGCGCGAATAAATCAAAAATAGTAAAAAATTAAAGGAACATTGTTTCTTACCAAAATCTTAACGAAATGATTTTGCCTTACCTTATTAAAAAAAATATCCCCATGCCACAACACCGGCCTTCACCTTGCCCTTCGGAAATGATACAAATGACGTCACCGGAAACTTACGAATTTTGACGAAGTTATGTCGGTTGCTTCCGTGAAACTCGGCTAAAACATAGCAACAATTTACATGAAAAGAACGATTTAATGCAATCTCTTTTCCATAAAACTAGCGTTTGCGTTCTAAGCCAACAGAACTTTTTATCTCATTCTGACGTCAGATTTTCGTCACTGCAACGGTTCGGGTATTTCCGATTTTAGGTAGCTAAACACAGTTTCGTATAAAATCCAGGGGGTTTTTCCCAGAGAGAAGCATGCTGGGTAGGGATTTTCCTGCTATTTATAGGAGTCTAGATGAAAACTGCATCTTTTTTGTTTTTATTCGCATAAAGTAGAGTCTTATCTTAATATTTAAAGGAAAAAATGTGCATTCATTTTTAGAAAAAAAAAATTGTGACACTTTTTAATAGGGGGAGATAACTCCCAAAACATCCAGTTTTCACATGTGCAGAATTGCATGAGTCAATTAGCAGGTAATGTAGCTCTTTAAAGAGGTGGAAAATGTACCCTGAAAGCACACTAAAAGAAAACCTTAGGACTTGTTCTGTGAAATGCATGCAACTTATTTTGTCTGATTTTTTCTGTTTTTGTTGAGCAGGGGGGTTAAACATGCATAGGTGCACTGAAAATGGATGGGTAAACAACCCAATATCCCCTTTATTTCAGGTGTCAAATACCCCTTAGTAGTAATTGATGAATGTATCATAGTTGGATATTTACAAAATTCACAATTTTATCTTTCCATTGATATGCAGAAGTCTATGTAACAAGCCTCCATTTTATTTTTTTATAGGGGTCAGTTTTGCATGTCCCTCACCAAGTAACGTCCTGATAACGTCATACATAAAACTGTGTTTTGCACCCTTAACGGAAACTTCCGAGAATTTTCGAATCTCGATCCCGATGCTTGGGAAATTATTTCTTTTTGTTGCTTTGTTTTATTCTTTTTGCTATCTTTTTCTTGAATGATAGACAGTACATGTGTAGGTTTATGATAGTAAATAAACTGCGCTCGCCCCAACGGTCACACCGTAAACATATTAGACATACTTTTTAGTCTTTTTCATATTTTAGATGTTGATAAACTTTCTTCTAACAGAAAATAATATATAGCAAAATATAGATTTGGGTGTTTTTATATAATTATATTTATCTGAAATATAATCTACATTGTACAAGCAAGGAGTAGGACCTAATAGAAAGAGAATAGGAAAATGCATATGATATCTGCTTGTGTTTTAATTTTTAAATTCAAAATTTACTTGTTTTGTCAATGAGTGTCTGCATTTTAAAAGAGAGGGGGTATTAAGTGTCACTGTGTTTATCTTGGCTAATTGGCTGGGATATCCCTGACTGCAGATAATGAGGTGTGAACTGTGTATTTTATAATAAATAACTCCACTGTAGACAGACAATCTTATAGAACAATAATTGTTAACTCTCAAAACAATTATTTCAACTCTACAAATTGTGCTATATTAGTTATACTTAAAGGTACATTGAGTTTACATATTCATTGATAAGAGCTCTAATTTATTTATTTTTTCATAATAATTAAAACACGGATCGTGTATATGCGTATTGCTAACACGCAGAATGTTCAAATACTTGTAAATCACAGTAAAATATAAAATAATTTCTGCAACTATAAAAAATTATTAAAAATGGAGGTTTAGATCCAAACAGCATAAATACATTCAAACGTCAGAGAATATCATCAATATTACTACATAATATTTAATTTTTTTTCTGCTTTGATATTTGAGGGTGGAAAAAATCGAAAGTAATCGATTATTAATCGATTACATTGTCTAAAGTAATCGATTACAGGACAAAACTGACTGTAATCGATTATTAATCGATTACACAAAATTGCTCTAAGTAATCGATTATTAATCGATCACATTTTTCAGTAATCGTGCCCATGCCTGGAGTCATGATTTGAAAAAGAATTATTCTTCGCAACATAAGGATGCTAACATGTAAATATGACTAAACATAGCTTTTCTGTTCTTGAAATTTCTTCCTTATTTCCTTATGTAAACTTTGATACCCCCTTGTGGCCCACCCTAACCTAAGGGAATAGGATTTTAACAAACCTGAATCTACACTACCTGAATATTCCACATAAATATCACTAATCAGGATTTGCTTTTTTGAGAAAAGATATTTGAACATTTTTTCTAAATAATTCCATGTAAAACTTTGATCCACATCCTGGCCCCACCCAACCCCAGGGGTCATGATTTGAACAATTTTGAATTTTGTGGCGTCGGTAGTCTAGTGGTTAAGGTGCCGGTGTAAAGACGAATAATGACCCCCATCGAATAATGACCGGGGGTCATTTTTCGACAGTAAAAAATGACCCCCGGTCATTATTCGACGTCGAAAAATGACCCTTTTGCTCGTAGAAAAAGTGTCACCACCCTAAAAATTTGCAGAACTCACGTGAAGAAAAATAACCCTCGTAGAAAAATGACTCCCTGTGGATTATAGCTGAAATTTTTAGGGGGCAAAAAAAATTAAATAAAGAAGCATATTTGCCAAAATGCTCACCTGAGCTTATTTGGATTAAATAGATGATATGTTGATCTCATAACATTATACAATTATAGCTATATTTGAAGGTCCATTAATGCGATGATTCAGAATCTACAGGAGTAAAAGATTTATCGAGCCTAAAGGGTTAGGTAAACATTGATTTATGATAGTGGAAATTATCCTACTGACAGAAAAAATCAGCAGTATTATATATTGTTATATCCTCCGCTAGAAAAGCGGGAGGGTATATAGTGATCGGGATGCCCGTCTGTTACGCTTTGGGGTAGCGAAGATTAAACTTTTCTTTAATGCAATTTAAATATATTGGTAACCAAAGTAGGGTCTTCTCAAAAGAAATACAATTGCAAAATAGGAAAGCCCAAAATAAATGGCTAAGGATAAGTTTTTGAAAGGTAGGTCAAACTCAAAGATCAAAGGGTCAAAGTTGATGGTTTCTTAAGAAATGATTTATGTAACAAGGATTACATATGTGAAGTATGAGAGTATTAGTATCTACCGTTTAAAGTTATAGCCAAAGTAAATTAAAAAGGATAAGGTGACTTGCAGCCCCCAGTAAATTCACAAAAAATTAAATGTCGAAATTTTACTCAAATTTTTGTATATAACCTATCACTGATATGTGTACTTTTATAAAATACAATTTTTATCAAAAATAGAAACGTGATTTGAAAGATATAGATCTTTTATTGGAGTAAGGGTATCATGTTTACATTCAATTCCCATTGCATTTTAACCCCGCCCCACTTTTTGAAGCCCTTAAAATATACGAGCACAGGTAGGTACAATTTTTTCCTTTGGCTGGTCACTGTATTTTACTGAAATCAACCTATATGTGAAAGGAAAAAAATGTACCTAACTGCGCTCACATGCTATTTAAAAAAAAAAATTGTAAAATCTAGCTGGCCTTCCCCATTATAAACAGATCGACGGAACTAGATTTTTGACGTAAGAATTTATTCATATGCTAATCGAGGCACAGGCGATTCTTTCTAACTGACCAATCAGCTAAATGAAATTCGTTACGAGTGAGTGCCACAAAAATACTATGGAAACATGCTTGGAATCTTAATTTTTTCCTATATTTTTTTTTATGCATTTAAGTCACAGATTAGATACGGATCTACAATTTCCGAGATCACAGTTGCACACAATTGAAGGATGTACATGATACACATTAGTTTAAAGTTTTGAAGCGTGTTTGTTGAGCAATTCGCTAGGTCTACACGTATTCCCG